CCTGCTCATCAAGTATGAGAGGAATGACGACACTGTGGGTTCCCTGAATGGGGATTAGAAGACGGCCCGAGAGTGTTATCTCTCATCCGTCAGAGACAGTGTGGCCCCAGACGGCCAGGAACCAATAGACCTTGACAATGTCAAGGATGCCGACCCTGCGCCTGTCCCACCAGCAGCTGGGAAGAAAAGAAAGGCACCTCTGCTGGTGGAGGTGAAGAAAGAGAAAAAATAGCAATCACTGACCGGTGAACGGTCAGATGAGCTCCGTCCCCAACCGGCTGGTGAGCATATTGACATACCTCTGGACGACAACCATCCAGAGCGTACTGTGAAGATTGGGACAGTTGCTCATGCTACTTTGGGTGCAAGCTTGCACCTTCTGCTGAATGAATTCAAAGACATTTTTTCCTTTGAACTGGAAGAGATGCCAGGCGTCAGCCCGGATCTCGCCGTCCACAAACTCGTCGTGGACCCCAAAAAGAAGCCCATCCGGCAAAAGAAAAGAAACCACGGCGAGGAAAGAAGTCAGGCGGCAACTGCCGAAGTCAAAAAGCTGCTAGACGCCAGGTTCATCTGGCCCTGTAATTTTCCCGACTGGGTAGCCAATGTGGTCCTTGTTATGAAACTGAATGGGACCTGGCGCATGTGTGTTGATTACACACACCTCAACAAGGCGTGTCCAAAGAACAGTTACCCGCTCCCAAAGATCGACAGTCTGGTCGACTCTACAGCTGGTCACGCCTTGAGGAGCTTTATGGATGCCTACTCCGGCTTCCATCAGATACCCCTGTGGAAGAAAGACCAAGAGAAGACGACCTTCGTCACTGATCAGGGGTTATTTTGTTATACTGTGATGTCGTTTGGCTTGAAAAATGCGCCTACCACTTTCCAACGGATGATTAATACGGTCTTCATTAATCAGATTGGGAGGAATGTGGAGGCGTACATTGATGACATGATAGTCAAATCCAAGCTACAGAAGGATCATCTTGCTGATCTCCGAGAAACATTCACCACCCTCAAGCGGCATAGGGTTATGTTAAATCCTAAGAAATGCGTCTTTGGTGTTGAGTCTTGGAAGTTTCTCGGATTCCTGATTGATCGAAGGGGGATAGAGGCAACCCCTGAAAAGATACAGGCGGTGATTGACATGAAGTCACCCCGTTCTGTTAAGGAAGTTCAGAGACTCACCGGTTGTCTGGCCGCCTTGGGGAGGTTCCTCAGCCGGTCAGGCGATAAATGCCTCTACTTCTTCCAAGCAATTAGGAAGAAGACTAGATTTGAATGGGGGGATGAGGCTGAGGCGGCGTTCCAGAGTTTGAAAGAGCATTTACACTCTCTACCTAGGTTGGTCAGCCCTTTGCCTAGGGAGACGTTGTACATGTACTTAGCCGTCACAGATCATGCCCTCAGTGTCGTTCTCCTTGCTGAGCAAGACGGCGTGCAGCTCCCGGTTTACTTCATTAGCCATGTTCTTAAAAATGCTGAACTCCGGTACCCCATGGTTGAAAAATTTGGCCTTGCTTTGTATATGGCATTAAAAAAATTGAAGCCTTTTGGCACATCCGATGGTGATCTACACTGACCAGCCACTCAAGCGGCTAATGTCTACCTTGGACTCATCTAGGAGAATGTTGAAATGGGCTATTGAAATGTAAAGTCTTGAAATCACTTACGAATCAAGAAAGGCGGTGAAAGGTCAGGCGTTTTCCGACTTCATTGTTGAAATGACCCGTCTGGTGGCTTCGGATAATCTTGATCAGGTTTGGAAGGTGTATGTAGACGGGAGTTCTACTAAGAACGGCTGTGGTGCAGGCGTAATTTACGAGTCTCCTGAAGGGTACAGATTTGAGTATACACTACGATTCAAATTTCAAGCCTCTAACAACGAGGCGGAATATGAAGCCTTGCTTGCCGGCATTCGCATGTGTAGGGCGGCAGGGGCCATGAAAATTGACGCCTACTCTTATTCTCAATTGGTCGTTAGCCAGTATGAGGGAAGCTACGAGGCTACTCATCCGGCTATGATTAAATATCTTCAGGCAGTCAAAGAAAAGACCATGGCACTTGAGGAATTCTGTCTGAGTCAAGTGCCTAGGTCGGAAAACGACCAGGCGGATGCATTGTCAAAGCTGGCGTCTTCCGCCTGCCATGATACGCCTCGGTCAGTCTTTTGGAAAGTTCTTGAAAAGAGAAGCATCTGTGAGGATCCCATTGCAATTCTGGACCGAAGCTCTACCTAGATGGATGGCATCCAGGCCTACCTTTCAGACGGTACACTTCCTGATTCGCCACAGGAAGCAGCCGTCCTGAAAAAGCGAGCTGCACGCTTCGAGTTGAAAAATGGAGAACTCTTCAAGGCGGGGTTTCTAAGGCCTTTGTTGAAGTGTGTCACCCCAGAAAAGGGGAAAGAAGTTCTCGAAGACTTGCACTCGAGATTCTGCGCCTCGCATATAGGCGGTAGGTCCCTAGCCGTCAGAGCCAAACAACATTATTTTTGGCCCACTCTTGAAGCAGACGCCAAGGAATTGGTGAAGAAATGTGACAAGTGCCAAAAATTTGGCAAACTCATTCACCGTCCGGCTACTGATCTGACGCCCATCCACAGCCCAATCTTGTTTGCAAAATGGGGCACGGACATTCTAGGTCCTTACACGCCTGCTCCAGGCGGAAAGCGTTACATCTTGGTGGCTGTGGATTATTTCACCAAGTGGGTGGAGGCTGAGGCGGTTAAAAACATCAAGACCTCAGACGTAATTTCCTTCATTTGGAAGAACATTATCACCCGGTATGGGGTACCTATGTCTATGGTGTTTGATAATGGTCCTCAGTTTGAGATGCCTCAGCTAAAAACTTGGTTGGGAGATCAGGGGATCTCAAGCTATTTTGCATCTGTTGGCCGGCCCCAAACAAACGCCAAGTTGAAGCCTTCAATAAACTCATCTCAGACGGCATTAAGAAGAAAATAGAAAGAGCCGGTGGCCTAAAGGCAGAAGAGTTAATCCATGTCCTGTGGGCCATCCGGACAACAGCAAAAGGGGCAACTGGTGAAACCCCATTTATCATGGTTTACGGTGCTGAAGCCGTCTTGCCCATCGAACGTTACGAGCCGACTCTCAGAGTCATGCTATATGATGAAGAGGCAAAATGGGAAGCAATGCGCCTGGCATTGGATTAACTCCCGGAACGCAGGGGCAATGCCGCCTTGCGTCATGAGATTTACAGTCTGAGAATGACGAGAGCCTACAACAAAAAAGTACACAAGCGTCCTTTGAAAGTTGATGATTAAGTGTTATGAAAAATGGAGGCAACCGGTAGGGCCAATGAGCTGGGGAAGCTAACCCCAAATTGGGAAGGCCCCTACCGGATCTATGAAGAAGTAAGGGATGGCACCTACCGCCTGGAAACTCCAGACGGCAGGCGTTTGCCTAGAACTTCGAATGTAGCCAATCTAAAAAAGTACTACTTATGAGTATGTAAACTTTTTGTAAACAGTGAGTCAATTAATGAAGATTCAGACTTTGTTTGCAAAAATTTAGTTATCGTTTGATTATCATCCGGGTAATATCCAGGCGGATTCTCCATTTACCTAACTAAGTTCGATACTTAGTAAAGGTTACATTTGTTTGACCGCCTGGGTAATACTCGGATCTCTTGTTTATTTAAGTTCGATACTTTGTTCATTTAACTAAGTATGATTATCCGCTTGGGTAATACTCAGACGAATTTTTCATTTACCTAACCATGTTTGATACCTGGTAAGATTAAATAATTGCCTGTCCGTCTGGGTAATACCCAGACAGACTCGTTCGTTTAAACAACTAAGTTCGATACTTAGTGTAAATTCAATACTTCGACTAAAAACAAAGCACAAAAACGTTTAGTGGCTATACAACCGGTCTCAAACAAGACCAGAGGCTAAAATGGCCGGATGGTTGCTCATTTTATAAAATCGCCTGTCCCAACATGGACAAAGGCGTCCGGCGACACCCCTCCGGGTGCAACCGTCGCAGAGAACAGACTATTTGTCGGTTCTACGTACCCATGCAAAGATTGAACGTCTGATAAAAATGACCTGTGAAGAATGATCAAAGTTGCCGAATACCGGATGCCATGGGGCATCAATCGGTCACCGGCTGAAGGTCTCACTTAGGTTATTTATTCCAAAATTGCACTTCCTACCCCAATTAGGGCAAAAGAGTTGTTCAATGGCTATGAAATCTCTACCTAGACGGACAAACGCCGTCTGGGTAGTGACTGGAACGCCTGTTAGTGTACGGTTGTGCACTTGGTTTGGGGCAATCACAACTTTGATTGATTGACTTACAAACATATCAAGCTCTTTGCAGCATTAGACGTTTTCAAGTCAATCAACCAACTCCACTTGAAACCAATCACACAGTTGTCCCGGGGCAAGGACAGCCAGACTATTGGTTAGTTAGGCAAAAAATCGCCGCATGCTTTTGATAAGTTAGGAAAAAATGAAAAATTAAAATTTTCACAAAATAAAAATTCAAATGCAAAATGATAAAAACCGACTTAGTCGGTGCATTTCATAAAAGTCCACCCAACCAAACGGTTGTAGTGGATCAAATGTTAACCGGACCCCGTCTAGGAGAAAGAAATTGTTAATTAACTCGGCTCCTTAGCCGGTAAATACAAGGACACTCGGCACGCAGGCCGGAAAAAGTAAGTTTTGGCATACAGCCGCTGAATAAAAGAAAAAAAAAAGCTGAGATTGGCATACTACTGCTGAATGGTCACTTCTAGCCTGCAGAAGGTGCCTCCTGGTCCTCCTCCTTCTCCTCATCATCTGAGGGTATCTCCTGTGCTTCACCAGGACAAGGAAACTCAGGCGCGGAAGGGTCGTTGTAAGAGTTGACACAGGCTTTAAAAGAGGCAGTCTCTGGCTCCCCTTGTTCTCTCAAGTACACCACGTACTCGGCATAGCTGTGCGCCAGTGCCCAGATGCTATAATCCGCGTCTGGGTACAAGGCAACCTAGGCAATCTTCATACGGGCGTCATTGTCAGCGTCACTCTCAGCAACAAGGAGGTTTTGCTCCGCCTCCAAGGTTGCTGCAAAGTTTATCTGAGCCTGAGAAGCCTCCTTCTCCAGCCTTTGAACCTTGGTCTTCAGTTTGGTGTTCTCTTCGGAAACTCCTTTAAGTGTGCCAAGGTCCGTCTGGGCATTCTTAAGCGCCTCATCAGCCTTCTTGGCGCTCTCGTCTGCCTTCTTCTGGGCCTCCTCCGCCTCCTTCTTAGCCGTCTCAGCATCCGTCGCGCGCTGATTGGTTGTCTTTAGATCTAACTCTAGCTGCTGGATTCTAGACGTCTGTGTCATAATTATTGCTTTAGTTTCAAGTTCATTTACGATAGTCGAGTGTAAAGAAATATTATCAGCGTCTATGGCGAACTTTTTGGCCCTTTTTACCTCTTCCTGTTTGCGGGAATAAGGACATTTGAGCCCGTCCACTGACAAGCGCACATTAGGGAGCGCTTTAAGGCATATAAATGGGTGATTTTGGATGTATTTAGGCCTGTTTTGGTCGTTTATTGCCTTGTTACACTCGTTTCCTTCATATTACGTGCTTCACGGGTTTCAGTCTGTTTTTGGTGTGTTAACAGGTATAGTTGACCAAGTTATGTCGAGTCCCAAACCATTGGTGCGTAATCAGGCTATCATCGATCCTAGTCCACCAAGCTAAGGCTTTGCTGCGGTTCTCAAGGCCTTGAAAGGCAAGTTAAGTAGCAGGCAAGACAGAACAATTCACAAATATGACACCTGTTCACTATTTTGCTCATAACTTTCGGTATACAAATGATAATGGAGTGACTCTAATTGCATTGGAAAGTAGATTTGAAGAGCTTTCCAACGATATATTGCACGCCTCAAACTGAGCCCTAGATAAGAAGTTGTGACTATTTTAAGAAGACCAAAGTGCCTGCAACCTTCCTGCCTATGCTTGCACGGCCGTGCCAGGCATTAGCACGGCCTTGCCAGGCATTAGCACGGCCATGCAAGGAATTAGCACGGCTGTGCCAAATTCAGCACGACCGTGCCAAAATTGAATAAATTGCGGATCAGCTACTGCCATGCTTGCACGTCCGTGCCACTTCTAGCACGGCCGCGCTGATTTACGAAGGGCAGCCTGCGCAATTGCTTTCTAAATTAAAACATATATATATATAACCCTATTGTGAGGGTTAAGAGGGAGATTTAGAGAGAGTTTTAGAGATAGTTTTTGAGAGCCTTTGTAGAGAGTTATTGGAGAACGTTCTTAGTATTAGAGATTCATTAGTTTTCTTAGAGATTATTCTAGCGATTTTAGTTTTCTTGGATTTATTTGAAGCAAGATTTGTGAAGATTCTTTGTATTATCCATTGACGACGGATATCAAAGTTCTAAACTTTTCCATTGATTCGCATCAATACAATTGGTATTATTCATTCTTGTTTATTAATCAAGCTTTATTATTTCTTAATCAGAATTCATGTTTATATCTATTATGCTTTTGGAATTCATTATTGCTTTGATTATGAATATGTTTGAGTAGTCTCCTAGCTAGGGTTTCGGGATGAAACCCGGCCTAGGTAATCTATGTAATTGAGGATTGATTTTGATAAACGGATTGTGATTAAATTGATTATATGCGATTGCATGTTAATTCATTATAATAGGAGTAGCTAACCTAGAATCTTGAATTTGATTGCATGATATTCTTAATTTGAACAAGAGATTGTGAATTGAGTATTACATTGTTGAATGTGGTTTGATTATGTATCGAGTAATGTTAAGTGCATGAGAAATCCAAGCTTAATATTGCCCGTTGTCTTCCTACCACATGATATTGATCAGACATATAGTCTTTGCATATCCCGTTTGTCTCTGTGATTCCTTGTTGCGTAGTTACCAATGGTTTGGTGAAATCCCGTCTTCCCTAGTGTCTTAGTTTATCTGGTTTATCCCATCTTATTAGTAGTATTTTAGAACACCATTTTCCATTGATTTCGAACTAGCTTAGGTTTAAGATTGATTTGCAATTACTCTCGTTCCTCGTGGACCTAACCTTTATTTGCCATTGTACTTGGTTATAGGGTGTTCGTATAAGTATTGTTTGATTGAGAGCTAGATTGTAGCGACCAATTTAACCCTCGTCATCCACCCGCAGCATGGTCTGCAAAAAGTCAGGCGGCACAAGTATTGCAGGCGGGATAAAACACTTGGAAAAAATAAAATTGAATTGACAAGTTTCTTACCTCAGCCAGAAGGGATAGAATGCGTTCAAGATTGAACGTCTCTATCCCAGGGATATTGTCCTTATCCCTCTTCCGGACGGCTTCCAGCATGGCCTTGGCATGCTTCTGGACGTCTGGCCAGCGGGGAGATTGATCTGCACCACAATCAATACGTAATGAGTGCGAAACTAAGGCAGCACCTATTTGTTGTCAGTCGTCTGAAGATGATGTCTGTTGAGAGTGGGATTTAACCCGTAAAGCCCACCCCAGCTCAAGCGGGGATTCAAAAGGGTTCTTACCTTCAGAGCCGGCCAAGCGGGAACGGCTTGCAAGCGTGGTGAACCCCGCGACTGCTGATAAGGGGTTGACGAGATCAAGGCACAAGCTGACGCCTATCTTCTCGTTTCGCCCCGCTATCCGCATCTGCTGATGCCCGGCTGAGGCGCCAGGAGTTGACGTAGAGGTGGCTTTTTTAATTTTGTTAAGAACGGCGGGGTTATCCTCCCTAGCCCGTTTGAGTTGTTTCTCAAACGACTGTCCAACCTCTCCTCCCTGCAAAAATAACCAAAGTTAAGGTTAGCATCCGGGAAAAATGATTTTAAAGGATCAACTTATGAAAGGGTCAGGCGTTTGATACCTTGTCCTTGACCTCAGCCGCAGCTTTCTCCGCAAGATCTTTGCGGATGGTTGCAGAAGACCGCTTGGGAGTTTTCTCCGACTGCAACATGTTTAATGCTTCTTTTCAAAAGGAAATAAATTGGTCAATATCATAAATCAATTTCGATAGAAAAATACTACAGACGGATATAAACTTAGGCACATACATTTTGTAAACACGTGCCCTAGCCCGCAGGCGGCTAAGAAACATTCATCCCTGAACAAGGCGCTCTTGGGGATCCAGTTCTTGGGAACTTTTATTGTTTCCCCAGTTAACAGTGTTGTGTCTGTGAGGCCGAAAAAGTCTGCCTCAATTATCTTGTCAAAATCTTCCTCTAGGATCCGGGGAAGAGCGCACTTCTTGCCTAACAAGTCGGGCTTCTTACTGTACAGACGGAATTCATAATTCTCCCGTCTGGTTGGGGCTGACATCAGGTAGAACCTGTGCTTCCAGCCATCGAACTTTGAGTCCTTGTCCAGGGTCATCATATACTGAGGCTGCGTGGTTAGAGTGTACCACGCCTTCCAGCCACCTGGGCTTCTGCTAAGATAGTGCATACTACCAAAAGCCTCCCAGCCGGGGTTAAGCCCCTAAAACTCGCAGGCGGCAACATACCCCAGAATGTTTGTCCAAGAGTTGGGGGTAAGTTGCCAGACTCCAAGGCCGTTGCCTCTTAAAATTGCCTTCACCGCCTAGTGAAGGGGGAAGCGAAGGCCAACTTTGAATGCCGCCTCATAACAGCCGAAATAGCTGTTGGCGTTCTGTTGATCGTCACCCCAGGCGATGGTGCCATTCTTAGGCAGCACCCTGATTCTATACCCGTCTCCTAGCGGGTGTAGATGGGTAAAATTCTTTTAGTTCCCCTCCATTTGGATCCGGTCCTTAGAGGAGACGTGGATGTTGAAGGGATCGCCCTTCTCGTTCCATTTTTTCCTTTCTTCCTCCTCTCTGATTAGGGGATTTTTATCCACCAATCACCGTCTGACAAGTGGACCAACCAGGTTCCGCCACGTGTCCTTCACGAAGGCCAATAGGAGCCTGCCACGTGTCAATCACAGATACGTCCTCTACGGACCAATCGAGGCACGCCACGTGTCCACCCATGCCAAATGGGAAAACCGGCCAACAAGGCCCAATCCTGTCTAGAGGCCCGGTCAGCCCTAGGTTTACCCTAAACCTAGAGAGTGGCACGCTTCTCAAGACTATAAATACTTAATTAATCCTCATTAAAAGGGATCAAGAAATTGAGAGGCAATTGATCAAGAAATTAATCTCACCTGAAGAACAGAGAAGAACAGAAACATTACGTAACACTAATAACCGGCTAATCTCGCTAACAAAGTAGATTACCAACATTAAACACTCTCACCTAGAGAGGTCTTATTACTTTAATTTCCGTATTAATTACTCCTTAATCAGGTACTAACTTGACCGTTGGAGGCGGAGCTCTCAGGAGTCTCCGTTATTTTGCAGGTACAGTCGTCCGGTTCCAGTCTCGGAATTGTAACTCTCCCGCAGGACATCAGAAAACCCCAAAACATTTGGCGCCGTCTGTGGGGAGAGTACTTCAGAGATGGCATCCAAGTCTGTACCGACTCCTGAAGAGAGGCGTCCCCTAAACGACCCTCAAGTTCAGACGGATCATGACACCGAAAGTGAATTTGAAGTGGAAACTCATACAGCTCCAGACGGGACCCTAAGGGCCCGACGTACCCGTCATACCGAAAGGAGGGAACGGGAGCATCTTCAAACAGGAAGCGAGCCAGCAGGCGCACCGCCTGCTCGGCAACAGCCGACTGATGGGTCTGCTCCCATCACAAGGAACGAACTCATGACCTTCATGAGGGACTTCAAGGGAGAGATTCAAGAGTTGATTAACAAAAAGCCGCCTGCTTCAGTCAAAGAGCAGTCGGCCAAAAAACCTTCCACTTCACTGAAGAGGAAGCCAGTTCATGGGCGAGAGGCGACTCCTCATCCTAAATCCAAGAAGCGGGAGCCACCTGCTCTTCATTTCACAAAATTCCGTTATCCTACGAGAAATAGGAAACCGGTTCGTCATATTCAGGCGGACGGGTCAAAGCAAACGTTCACAGATGCTCGGCTACTGCTAGAGCAGAAGAAGAGTGACCGATTGTCAGAGTCGGCTTCTACTTCAAATTTTCAAGACAGTTTGCGAAATGCCTCGATGAGGCATACTCAGTCGTACCATGAGAGTCAGTCAGGCGGCACCTCCCGTCAGTCCGGCTTTCATAGTGCCCAGGCGGTACCAAACTTACCATTTGTGCCGCAACAACAGTATTTTATGCAGCCACCTCCATTTGGTGGACCTGCAGCAAAAAACGTCCAACCTATGGACTGGCAGCTACGGTTGCTTAGACTTGGTGAACAGCCGTCGGCCTTCTCCAAGGAAATTACTGAAGCCGCTCAGCCGGCCAAAGTAAAAAATGTACTAGTAGGCGCCTATGACGGCACTACTAACCCAGAAGACCATCTGATGGCATTCACCAACCTGATGTACCTTCAAGGGTTGGATGATCCCACTTGGTGCAAGTGTTTCCCAGCGACTCTCAAGGGAATCGCACAGCAATGGTTCGGCAACCTGCCGACTGGTTGTGTTAACAGCTTCAGGACGCTTGCTTACTTATTTGCCTCCAACTTCGCCATGAACATCCCTGCGAAGAAAACGACCCTTGATTTGGGAACAATTCAGCAGGGCGAGAAGGAGGGGCTTCGTTCTTACATCAGGCGGTTCAACCTGATGAGAATACAGATTCAAGGGTTACCGGATGAGGTAGCTTATACTGACTTTTTTAGAGGTCTCAAAGACGGGTCTACCTTCAAATTTGATTTAGTTCGAAAAAGGGTGGCGACTCTTCAAGAGGCCTTGATTGAAGCAGAAGCCTATATACAACTGATCTGTGTACGATAAAACAGTCGGACGGGAAAAGGTTCGACAAAAGAGAAGGACGACAGAAACAGTCGTCTAACAAAGATGAGAAAAGAAAAGAGGTCTGGGCGGTTGATTCCTCTAAACAGCCGGCCCAGAAAAAGAAAAAAGAATTCAAACCATACTCCCCAAAGTATGTGTTTAACAAGGATAACCAGTTTATCCTAAAAGAAATAAAGGGACGGTTCTCAATTGAGAAGCCGGTCCCCATGAAGGGTTCTGCAAACAACCGGAACCAAGACAAAATCTGTGCTTATCATGATGACGTTGGTCATCACACCAATGACTGCATCAGTCTCATGCGGTACCTAGACCGCTTGGCTGAGCAAGGTGATCTTGACACTTATGTCAAGAAATCTACGGGGAACACTTCCTCAAAAAAGCAGTCGGCCAAAAAGAATCAACAGGCCGACAGTTCCGATACAGATGATGCAGTCGTCTACACCATTGCAGGCGGCTTCTCAGGAGGCGGCCCCACTATTAGGGGCAACAAAGATAATATAAGGCGGTTAGATGTAAATTCCGTTCACCAAGAACGGCCGTCCAAATATACATTTCCTGAGATTGTCATCACTGAAGAGGATCTAGGAGGGGTAAGGGGGCCGCATGACGACCCTCTCGTTATTGAATGTAAAGTGGCCAACCAGAGAGTTGGCCGAATCCTCATAGATACCGGGAGCTCCTCAGATCTCATCAGCAGCAAATGTCTGTCAAAACTGAAATATCAGACGGACTGCATACATCCGGCCTCCCACCCTTTAATAGGGTTTGGAGGAGGAGTCGTCCACCCACTGGGACGAGTAGATTTACCCATTCGCCTGGGCGAAAAAGGGGAAGGATGACACATGGTAGTCCGGTTCCTAGTAGTAGAGGAACTCTCGGCCTACAACATGATTCTGGGTCGACCAACCCTGAATAATTCCAAGGCTGTTATAATCCCGTCTCTTATGCTGCTTAAGTTTGAGAGGGATAATGGAACAGTCGGCTCCCTAAGGGGAGATCAGAGGATGGCCCGAGAGTGCTATCTCTCGGATGTCAAGCCCACTGTTATGGCCACTGGGTCAAGTGGAGAAAAAACAGACCTTGACAATGTCAAGGAGAGTGCGCCTGTTCAAGAAACAGGCGACAAAAAGAGAAAGGCGTCCCAGACAGAGTCCACAAGAAAAGCAAGAAAATAGCCCTCAGCCGGATGGTGAGCATGCGGACCTGATCTTAGACGACTCACGTCCTGACCGAACAGTCAAAGTTGGGACGACTGCTCTGAGAAACCTTGGTGACGACTTTCACAACCTATTGAAAGAATACAAGGACATCTTTGCATTTGAAGTCCATGAAATGCCAGGCATTAGTCCTGATCTGGCAGTACATAAACTCGCTGTGGATCCGAAAAAGAAGCCGGTACGGCAAAAGAAGCGGAACCATGGCGAAGAAAGAAGTCAGGCGGCAGCCGCCGAAGTTAAAAAATTACTTGATGCAGGGTTCATTCGGCAATGTTACTTCCCAGACTGGGTTGCAAATGTGGTGCTTGTTAAAAAGCCGAATGGCACCTGGCGAATGTGTGTAGACTACACAGACTTAAACAAGGCGTGCCCCAAAGACAGTTACCCTCTGCCTAAAATTGATAACCTGGTCGACTCAACAGCGGGTCATGCCTTGATGAGTTTTATGGACGCCTATTCTGGTTTCCATCAAATTCCCTTATGGAAGAAAGATCAGGAGAAGACGGCCTTCGTCACTGATCAGGGGTTATACTGTTACACGGTCATGCCGTTTGGTCTTAAGAATGCCCCGGCTACCTTCCAACGAATGATAAACACAGTGTTCTTTGATCAGATTGGGAGAAACGTCGAGGCATATATTGATGATATGATTGTCAAGACTAAACTTCAGAAAGATCATCTGACGGACCTCCGAGAAACTTTCGCCACACTCAGGCGGCACCATGTCATGCTCAATCCCAAGAAATGTGTATTTGGAGTTGAGTCTGGGAAATTTCTCGGATTCCTTATCAATCAGAGAGGAATACAGGCGAACCCTGAGAAGGTGCAGGCGGTCATTGACATGCAGTCGCCTCGTACCATCCGAGAGGTTCAGAAGTTAACAGGTTGTCTGGCGGCCTTGG